ATATATATATATATATATATATATATATATATATATATATATATATATATATATATATATATATATATATATATATATATATATATATATATATATATATATATATATATATATATATATATATATATATATATATATATATATATATATATATATATATATATATATATATATATATATATATATATATATATATATATATATATATATATATGTATATATATATATGTATATATATATGTATATATATATATATATATATATATATATATATATATATATATATATATATATATATATTATATATATATATATATATATATGTATATATATATATGTATATATATATATATATATGTATATATATATATATATATATATATATATATATATATATATATATGTATATATATATATATGTATATATGTATATATATATATATATATATATATATATATATATATATATATATATATATATATATATATATATATATATATATATATATATATGTATATATATATATATATATATATATATATATATATATATATATATATATATATATATGTATATATATATATATATATATATATATATATATATATATATATATATATATATATATATATATGTATATATATATATATGTATATATGCATACACATATATATGCATACACATATATATGCATACACATATATATGCATACACATATATATGCATACACATATATATGCATATGCATATATATGCATATGCATATATATGCATATGCATATATATGCATATACATATATATGCATATGCATATATATGCATATGCATATATATGCATATGCATATATATGCATATGCATATATATGCATATGCATATATATGCATATGCATATATATGCATATGCATATATATGCATATGCATATATATGCATATGCATATATATGCATATGCATATATATGCATATCCATATATATGCATATACATATATATGCATATACATATATATGCATATACATATATATGCATATACATATATATGCATATGCATATATATGCATATGCATATATATGCATATACATATATATGCATATACATATATATGCATATACATATATATGCATATGCATATACATATATATGCATATACATATATATGCATATGCATATACATATATATGCATATACATATATATGCATATTCATATATATGCATATACATATATATGCATATACATATATATGCATATACATATATATGCATATACATATATATGCATATACATATATATGCATATACATATATATGCATATACATATATATGCATATGCATATATATGCATATGCATATACATATATATGCATATACATATATATGCATATGCATATACATATATATGCATATGCATATACATATATATGCATATACATATATATGCATATACATATATATGCATATACATATATATGCATATACATATATATGCATATACATATATATGCATATACATATATATGCATATACATATATATGCATATACATATATATGCATATACATATATATGCATATACATATATATGCATATACATATATATGCATATACATATATATGCATATGCATATATATGCATATGCATATACATATATATGCATATACATATATATGCATATGCATATACATATATATGCATATACATATATATGCATATACATATATATGCATATACATATATATGCATATACATATATATGCATATACATATATATGCATATACATATATATGCATATACATATATATGCATATACATATATATGCATATACATATATATGCATATGCATATACATATATATGCATATACATATATATGCATATGCATATACATATATATGCATATACATATATATGCATATACATATATATGCATATGCATATATATGCATATGCATATACATATATATGCATATACATATATATGCATATACATATACATATATATGCATATACATATATATGCATATACATATATATGCATATACATATATATGCATATACATATATATGCATATACATATATATGCATATGCATATATATGCATATGCATATACATATATATGCATATACATATATATGCATATGCATATACATATATATGCATATACATATATATGCATATACATATTTATGCATATACATATATATGCATATACATATATATGCATATACATATATATGCATATACATATATATGCATATACATATATATGCATATACATATATATGCATATACATATATATGCATATACATATATGCATATACATATATATGCATATACATATATATGCATATACATATACATATATATGCATATACATATATATGCATATACATATATATGCATATACATATATATGCATATACATATATATGCATATACATATACATATATATGCATATACATATACATATATATGCATATACATATACATATATATGCATATACATATATATGCATATACATATATATGCATATACATATATATGCATATACATATATATGCATATACATATACATATATATGCATATACATATATATGCATATACATATATATGCATATACATATATATGCATATACATATACATATATATGCATATACATATATATGCATATACATATACATATATATGCATATACATATATATGCATATACATATACATATATATGCATATACATATATATGCATATACATATATATGCATATACATATATATGCATATACATATATATGCATATACATATACATATATATGCATATACATATATATGCATATACATATACATATATATGCATATACATATACATATATATGCATATACATATACATATATATGCATATACATATACATATATATGCATATACATATACATATATATGCATATACATATATATGCATATACATATACATATATATGCATATACATATATATGCATATACATATATATGCATATACATATACATATATATGCATATACATATATATGCATATACATATACATATATATGCATATACATATATATGCATATACATATATATGCATATACATATATATGCATATACATATACATATATATGCATATACATATCTATGCATATACATATATATGCATATACATATACATATATATGCATATACATATATATGCATATACATATATATGCATATACATATATATGCATATACATATATATATATATATATGCATATACATATATATGCATATACATATATATGCATATACATATATATGCATATACATATATATGCATATACATATACATATATATGCATATACATATATATGCATATACATATATATGCATATACATATATATGCATATACATATATATGCATATACATATATATGCATATACATATACATATATATGCATATACATATATATGCATATACATATATATGCATATACATATATATGCATATACATATATATGCATATACATGAATGAGGAAAACACTCTACCGTGTTGATACTATGGTAGAAAAACCCACAATGCAAAAACTAGATTTATTGAAAATGAAAGTGAGACGACAGTTTCGGAATCCACCTGGATTCCATCCTCAGGTCTGAGGAGTGTGAGTATGTAGGTGTGAGTGGGTGGGGGTCAGTGAGTCTATGTATGTATAAGTGTGAGTGAGAGTGTTAGGGAATGTGAGCAAGTGTCTGAGTGCGAGTGCATCTGTGTGAGAAAATGATTGAATGAGTGAGTGAGTATAAGCGAGACAATGTGTAACAGTTGAGACAGGTAGGACTAGTAACTGACTCCATGGTGACTAAGGACATGTGAAGCTATCTAGGTGTAAACACAATTAATACCCTAAAATTACAATGGACAATGGGTGTATGTCATACCATCCCAGCGCAGGTTAAGAGTCCTCCTTAACGTTACTTACTTGTCAAATAATCCAGTATCAGTTGTAGTCATTAGATTTTGTAATAGTTTGTATACTCCCATTTCACGAAGTTTGTTTTGTCTCTCAGCAGCTCCCTCCTCAACATTCCAGATGAGGTTGCTTATGCAGAAGGTTGCTGCTATCTGTAGTTTAACATTTGGTATAACCTGAAAAAAGATTTACAATGCATAACCAGAGACAATGGTAAATGGTTAACCCCTATGATCCAGATGAAGTGACCATCATGTGATGATAAACTCTGGCTTGAGGGGCAGTTGACTTGAACATGCCATCATGGGAAAATTTGGCTGAAAATTATTAGACTCATTGGGTATTTAGGAAGGGTTTTTTATGTTATTTCCATTAATAAACAAGTGTGGAATGTACTGTCTATGAGCCATGACTGAAAGAGCGCTGGCTCCAGAGAGGATGCCAATTCCATGCACAGGATCCTATTACTGCCTGTCATGACCGGTGACATAGGTTGTATTGCAGAAAAAAAAAAGTTACACAAATAACAAAATGTTACTTATTGTTTTTATTATGGAATACCTAGAGAGATGACATGGATTCTATGCAAGGAAAACAGTCAATTTTACCATCTGTATAAAGCAAATTAAATGACACTTGATTCAATGGTCAATGCTTAAAACAAATAAATGTGCTATACATCAAAGGTCATACAACACTATGATAAAATATTGTGGTAAAAATTGAAAAATTCAGTTAATGATTAGGACAAAATATGTAAAATATCAAAGGTTGTAGAGCATTATAGGATAGTATGTTAGTGAAAAGGGTAGAGGGGGAGCAAATAGAGTAAGGCAGGGATTAGTAAAATGAGGAAGGGGGTTAAGGGCAAAGGCCGAATAAATCAAATGGAGAGTATCTCTGTGTCAGAGGAAGGAAGAGGAACACTGCACAAGGAACAAGGAGGTAAGGTATCAGGAAGAACATCAGGAGGGAAAGGAACCAGAGAAGGACCCTGTTGTGATAAGAAGGGTCATATGAGCATCCAGATAAGAGTTTTAAGGTGTACATGGAGAAGGGAAGGATGGGTGTGATGGGAAAGAGCAGGAGGAAGAGGGGTAGGGAGGAACTTGAGGAGGAGGAGGATGGATATCAGCAATTAGTTTGAATGTTGAGGGAATGGGAGTAGAGATTGGAGGGTGGATCATGTTAGGGAAGTTCTGGATGTCTTCAAGAGTTTTTGGTGGGGAGTTGGGTGGAGAGGTCTGAGAAATGAAGGTTTTCTTGTGAGAAGGAGGCGAGACAGGTTTCCAAGGAGCAGAGGAAAAGGTGGGTGTAGGGAAGAATTATGGTAGGAGATGGGGTGGTTTGCCTAGTGTGACAGGTAAAGTGAGAAAGAGGAGTATGTACCAGGGAAGTGGAGGAGGAGATGAGACATCTTGGTAAGAAGGGAGAGGAGTGGAGCAAATGTTGGAATCGGTAGTGAAGAAAGACCTCATTGGTGTGCTTCTTGTCTGGCCTCACACAGAGTGGATGAGGGCCGGTAATGTGGAGTTAGGTAGTAGTGCAGGTAGGAAGAAAGTAAGAATGATGAGTAGTAATAAGAGAGGAAAGGGCAATAAATGAAAAAGACTGTGCAGGTGTAGAAGATGGAGTGAAGGATACTGGGAGAGAGGAAGGAATGTATTCTGAAGGCTGAGTAATGACCAGGGTGGATAATTCAGAATGGATCAAGTTCATAGCAAGTATCAATGGTGAGCCCAATATATGTGAGAGAAACTCTACACCTCAGGGTACCCATGAAGGGTAAGAGCTACACGATTAACCATGGGAATGCCATGCTTATGGCTCCCAGAGGCTGTTCAGGAATGACACAAAGTCAGCCTTTCATCTTTTCAGCACCTCACTTACACCTCCAGAACTGGACAGAGGGAATTAACCTATTATAGCCAGGTATGGCTACAGGCTTCATGACTCACTAAAGCAAGTCAAACAGGAAGTTTCGCTATACTTAGCGAGGTCCCTAGCCAAAAGGCTAGATGGTTGCCAGAAGTCCCTGGAATGAGTGACACAGAAATTTCTGGTGCCCTCATTGTAGGGTTAAAAAGGAGAAGGAAAAGGAAAAGGGGAGAAAAATCATGCAAAATTTGTTAAGGTAAGAGCTGAGGCCTAAGGCAGAGGTGTTGGCCCTCAGTTGCCATCTCCTATGCCCCCTCACAATAACAAAGGGCATGGGATTGGTGGTTGGTGTAACAGTTTGTAATGTACAGGGGTATGACCTGGCCAGAAAGAATACCCATGAGCAAAGAAGAAATTCTGAAAGTGGAAGTAATAATTGGTGGTTGGAGTATTATCACTATCATATTATCATCATCATCATCACTATTATCATATTATCATTATCATTATCATTATTATTATTATGATCATTATCACTATCACTCTCATTATTATTATCATTATTATTATTATCATTACTTTTATTTTCCTTATTATCATTATCATCTTTATCTTTATCATTATCATCATTATCCTTATCAATATCATCATTAACATTATCCTTATCCTTATCATTATCATCATTATCCTAATCATTATAATTATCATCTTTAGGATCATCATCATTTTCATTGTTACAATTATTATTTTCAGTATCAACAGTAGTACTAACAGTAATATCAATATCAATATTTATATCAATATCAAATTGATATCAATATTATTATTTTGAAAAAAAAAAAAAAAAAAAAAAAAAAAAAAAAAAAAAAAAAAAAAAAATATATATATATATATATATATATATATATATATATATATATATATATATATATATATATATATATATATATATAAAATATAAATATTAGTGTCATCATCATTATTATATCAAAGAATATATTTTACTATAATGTACATTGATAATTTCAAATATACCTACCATATAATTCATTAGCTTCTTGAGTACATCTTCATTGGACATAATGGCAGACTTGGCCATGTCTCCATCGGCAATATTAGCCAAAATGCAGAGTGCTTGCTCCTTCACCTCAGCTGAGTGTTCTCCTTCTAAGATTAAGATGATTGCCTGAAAAATTAAGAACTCTTTTGATTACCAACATTTAAATGAAGAACCAGTGTCTCATAAGTCACACAGCACAGCTTGTGTTGTACTGCACACTATGCCTTTTCACAAAATCCTACCTGCATAATTTCTTTTCCATGGCTTTGCATAATCTGGTCAATATGGGCCTTTGTTGACAGAAGGTTTCTCAGCAGACCTAAAGTTTTCATGAGGATGTGAACATCTGTGTCCGACAGTAGTCGGAATATTTGATCAGTTCCTAAGTGGTGCAGGATGGAAGCCTAAAAAGAAAAATGTAGGCATTACTACTAATAAAAGCATGCAAGTTTTTATTTAGTACACATATATCGAAGGCATATTCATATCTATACTCTCCTTCCTCTTCCCTTCCTCTCTACCACCCATCTGATCTTTCTTCTTCCCTCTCCTTTCCCTTTCCCTTTTACTCTCTCCTTCCCTT